CGGCAGAGGAATATCGCCTAAAAGATGGACAGATAACATCCGGCAAAAAGCTGGAATAAACTGGTTGCGAGTGGCCAGGGACAGAAGTCGGTGGAAACGTCGATCTTAACTGCAGAAAAGGACACGAGAAACAGGCATACCTAATCTACTATACATAGGCATATCACTATCACTTTTGTAAATAACGTTCACCATTTGCTTGCCAATGTACAAAATGAACACCTCTCCAAAACTAAACAAGAAAACAATTGTTAACTTTTCTAATCAAAAAGTTTAACTAAACAACCGAGGACGTCGGCATAAACATGCAAATGCGCCCGGATTTGCTTATAAAAGTAATTGAATTGTTCTCGTCGGCATCTGCCATTTTGACGAGAGTCGAGTTTTATTAACCTCCCCTGTCTATCGGACAGGGCACTTGTGCTGCGGCTTGTAGCTGTAAGTTATACTAGGGGAGCATCATAATTATTTTTAAGTTAATACATTTGTAGTCGAGCGGAAAATAATTTTTTAAATGGCTGCATGTTGTCAAACACAATGTCAAAATCTAAAGCTAAAGTTTACCAAATATTTAAAATGTTTTGAACGCCCTGAAANGTGCTGCGACGAGCGCTTTGTGTTACAATAGAAATATGCTCGAATAAATGGTTAATAGCTTGATACCGTTAAAAAGTTGTTTCTAAAACAATGTAGCGTTATGAAAATTGATTCTGATTAGAGAGAGAAATAAGGTTTAAATAATTTATTAAATGAAATAAATTACTGAAAGTAGAGAGAATGTGCCAATGTGCCTAGGTACTCCCAAAGAAAATAATAATGGTAAACTGCGTTAATATGCTTTTAATAGTTTATTAACTCGCATAAAACCAAAGTATTTTGTCATTGATTATGGTAACGAAATCAATTTTGGACCACAATTTTTGAACAAAAACATAGTAAAATTTAAATAGACACAGACACAGTTCTAAAAAAATGGCAAAAAACCTTGATTACACAAGTTGCAGACAGATGCAAACAGACTCCATGGAAAGGGCCGAATCTAAACCTTTGCGTTTGTTTTTAGACAAAGGCGTGTTGACTGCAGACGAGTCCAGTGGATGGCATAGGTTTTTTTTTCGCATCCAGGTACTTCCCGCGAGTTTCACCAGATTTATCAATAAAATTCGTTCGATCGTTCGTTCGTTTCAGCCGAATGACGTACACTGCTGGACAAAGGCCTCCTCCAAGGTTTTCCACAATGAACGGTCCTGCGCTGCTCGCATCCAGGCTCTTTCCGCGACCTTCACCAGATCGTCGGTCTACCTAGTAGGAGGCCTGCCCACGCTACGTCTTCCAGCCCGTGGTCGCCACCCGAGAACTTTTCTGCCCCAACGGCCATCGTCTCTACGAGTTGTGTGCCCCGCCCACTGCCACTTGATTTTAGCAATTCTGTGAGCTATGTCGGTCACTTTGGTTCTCCTGTGGATCTCCTCATTTCTGATTCGATCACGCAGGGAAACTCCAAGCATGGCCCGCTCCATCGCCCTTTGGGTGACCTTGAGCCTTCTTATGAGGCCCATAGTAAGCGACCACGTTTCTGATCCATACACCATCACTGGCTATCCATACACAATCAATAAAACACATGCCATAATTAAATTAATTAAGGGATATTTTAATTGTTCAAACGTAACCTTTACTGGTTGATTGGCAGTTAAGTTATAGATCTTGAATAAATAGGGGTGCGGAAAAGGACACGAGAAACAGGCTAATCTGCAATAAATAGGCAAATCACTATCACTTTGGTAAATAACGTTAACCATCATGTACAAAATGAACTCCAAAACTAAACAAGAAAACAATTGTTAACTTTTCTAATCAAAAAGTTTAACTAAACAACCGAGGACGTTGGCATAAACATGCAAATGCGCCCGGATTTGCTTATAAAAGTAATTGAATTGTTCTCGTCGGCATCTGCCATTTTGACGAGGCTCGAGTTTTATTAACTTCCCCTGTCTATTGGACAGGGCACTTGTGCTGCGGCTTGTAGCTGTAAGTTATACTGGGGGAGATTATAATTATTTTTAAGTTAATACATTTTTAGTCGAGCGGAAAATAATTTTTTGAATGGCTGCATGTTGTCAAACACAATGTCAAAATCTAAAGCAAGTATGTTTACCAAATATTTAAAATGTTTTGAACGCCCTAAAATAGTTTTTGTTCGCTTTGTAAAATAATTTTACATAACTAAACCTAACACTTTAACATCAAATACTTAAACTGCTGTGATCTACTTGCCTGTTAAAATTCTTATTTTGTGTGTATTTAGGCAAAAAATTGACTAATTGATCAACTGGTAACTAATAAAAAAACTTACGCACATCTGTCTGTCATATTAAGATACCCAACAAAAAGTTCGAGTTCAAATATTCAGTTAAAAACTCTACCCAGCTCCCGGACTACACATTTCGATTCTCATCAATTCTTCCAAGCAAATTGAATGAAACCAATCATTTACATCGCGAAGTCAACAAACAATTCGTCGCAAAGCTCTGTAAACGCAATTTTAGTACGAGTTGAAGATGAAGGAAACTCGTAAAGAACTCGGAATAGACCGGGAGTGTGAGGAGATTTTGTTAAAAGTTAAATATAACGTCCTCCGAAGTTAAATTAAAACGCCGCGTTTGACGGAGCCGGGTTCTTATTGTTTGCGTAATTTGTTTTTCGTTTTACGATAAAATAAGTATTTTTCTTTCTGTGTTTCAATGTAGAGTATCGTAGGACGACGGCAGATCAATCTAAAAAGTGTAGCATATTTTATTGCTCTAATAACGCAGGTTTGCAACAAAAATTACCAATTTAATTAACGGTTACTCTCCGAACTTTAGCTTGAAAAAAAGTCCCGTCTTAGGGATTCTTTTTTTCCAAATTATAGTTGAAGAACTGAAAAAATCTAAAGTAAATCAAATCAAAATCATATTGTTATAAATTTTCATTACTTTTTAAATATGATTTGATTAATTCAAATGCCAAATAAAATACCATTTACCTCCCCATTATATTTATAACGTTCAATCTTTCACCTTCAAAACGACTTTTCATCTCCAAAATACGAAATCAAAAGTAAACTAACTTACGCAAACACGAGCGAAAATCCGACGAAGTCAGGTGGCATAAAGTTAATGTAGAAATAATGAATTCGTTGTGAATCGCCCGTCCCCTATTTGTCTTTCAATTATGGGGCCCCCAGGGACCGCCCCACCCCCTTTAAACAACGGTACAGCGCTGCCATCTATATTTAACGAAGTCAGAAATTAAATCTTACGATTATCTTTCGGGCGAGAATGTAATTTTCGCGTGCAGTGATTTTCTCGAGGGGCCTTAATGTCACTGTTGTTTGTTGGTAGATTCGTTTTTGTAATGATGTAACGGTAGGTTTGTTTTTTTGGCATTTTCGTGTCATTATTTATTCTTTCAATGCTCTAGTTGGTGACTACTAAAGGAGGATATAAGACTGAAAGATGGCGGATAGTAGGTACTAAGCTTATCTTATCTTTTATAAGGTACTAAGCTAGTAAAATATTTATTATTAAAGAGTATACTTATTTTAATAAATAGAGTGGTCCAGATTCCCCGCTATTGTCCACAACGACCTAAAAAATAATAATTTTGTCTCAACTTTGGTAAAGTGGGATAAATCTAATTTGGCCATTTTTTGGCCACACAGTCAGGAGATATTTCTTTCTCAGTGGCACGTTTGGAAAAGATAGCATAACTTACGCAGTGTAGTACCATCTGACTGTGATGGCAACTAAGGTAAAGATGCCTTTCTTGCTCTTTCCTATAAACGGCACCAATCGTAACTCAAGCCTAAATAAGGTTAAGGCAATAATATTTTTGTACACACTAAGTAGATGTTGGTGTAAGACATTTCTTCTAGAAGTTAATATTTCGGCCACTTTTTTGCAAATCAGTCAACTCAGATTTTCTTTCTTTAGTTTTCCTTTCCTACGCTTGGCGTATTTGGTAGCGTAACCTAAAGCACTTATTCGTAAGTACCTACTTGTATTGAAATATTTATAATCATACCAATATAATACTAAGTTCCACTAGTATTTTTTACTCAGTTCCCCTTTTTATTTTTAAACAACCAACTCTCTGAGTTATCTTGAAGATATTGTTATTTAACTAAGACTTGTTGAACTGTGCCTAAGGCCTTTTCAATTTGAATTTCCTGTTATTGCTACTAACTAAAGTTTCAATAGGTAAATCTACTTATTCATATGCTAAGCGGGCCCGACGGCTATAACAAGATTCGTTTTAAAAGAAGTTTAATTGCTATCCATTGCCCTATTTTGATCCCATAAATAACACTTTAAGGTATTCTTGAATGACGTCTAAATAGCTTTCTTTGGACTCTAAAATACTTAAGGTGTGGCAAATCCTAAGTTTTTTTTTGTGAATAGACAAACAGTTAGGTACACGGGTGATTCTATTCGGTGATTTTATGACAACCTTAAATATGTACCTACTTAAGAGGTAGGTACACAGGTTTCCTACTAGTAGGTACCTAAAATGTAAGCAATAAAAGAAATTGTCTTTCTTGTAGTGGAACATAATTAATCAAAATGCCACTTGGAAAATGTGCGAAAAGGAAGTTATTTTTGCAAATGTCTTAAGATAACTTTGCTGCTTCCAAAATGCAAAGCAAAATACAGATAAAAATAAAATATTTAGAAATCTAAGTTACAAAAATGTTAAAAGTTAAATGAAATCAAGTTTTTTTTTGTATTTTTAAGTCATTCCTAGGTAAAATAAAAATTTATTGTAAGATCACAAAGAAAAGTAATAGACAAATAGTTACCAACGTCGAACATCTAAAAAAATATTACTATGACAATCAGCTGATTGAATGACCAGAAAAAAACTTAAAAATTAAATGAAATATAATAAATACTTTTAAAAAATATGAATAAATAAATAATAATTAATAATAAAAAAGTAACACTTAAAAAACTCACCTCACTGCCGTGCACACCGCAAAAATGGCACAACTCAAAACATAACTTTTCCGAGCGCTACACGACCGAGCGCGGCCAAAGCGGTACTGCGGCTCGCCGTCGCGGCCAATCGCGCCACGCCTCGCTCGCCCCGCCTCCACGCGAATGCTCGCCCAACCCGNTGTCATTATTATTTCAATGGTCTAGTTGGTGACTACTAAAGGAGGATATAAGACTGAAGGAGGATAGTAGGTACTAAGCTTACCTATCTTATCTTTTATAAGGTACTAAGCTAGTAAAATATTTATTATTAAAGAGGATATAATAAGTAGAGTGGTTCAGATTTTCCGCTATTGCCCACAACGACCTAAAAAAATTTTTTTTTGTCCAACTTTGGTAAAGTAGGATAAATCTAATTTGGCCATTTTTTGGCCAAACAGTCAAGAGATATAATTCTTTTTTAGTGGCATGTTTGGAAAAGGTACTACCTTTTCCAAACATGCCTACCTTTAAGGTAGCATAACTTACGCAATGTAACTAAGGTAAAGAAGATGCCTTTCTTGGTCTTTCCTATAAACGGCACCAATGAGCATCGTAACTCAAGCTTAAAAGGCTAAGGCAATAATATTTTTGTACGCACTAGATGTTGGAAATTAAATTTCTTGTAGAAGTTAATTTTGGGCACCTTTTTGCAAAACAGTCAAGTCAGTTTTTATTTCTTTAGTTTTCCTTTCCTACGCTTAGCGTATTTGGTAGCGTAACCTAAAGCGCTTATTCATATTTGTATTTAAATATGAAAACTTAGTAAACTAACTCTTCTTTTTTCAAACAATCAACGTCTCTCCGAATTGTCATGAAGATTATCGCTTTTTAAAGACTGCTTGTACTGTGAATTTTCAATTGTTATTTCCTGTTATTGCTACTAAATATCTGTATTATCTTAAGCGGGCCCGACGGCTATAACAAGATTTGTTTTAAAATAAAAGTTAAATTCCTATCCATTTTCCTATTTTGAACCCATAAATAACATTTTAAGGTATTCTTTCATAACGTCTAAATAGCTTTCTTTGGAGTCTAAAATACTTAAGTTGTGTGAAATCTTAAGTTAGTTTATGTGAATACTGAATAGTCTATCAGTTACACGGGTCATTCTATTCGGTGATTTTATGGCAACCTTTAAATAATTATGAGGCAAGTACACAAAAAACTTACTAGTAGGTACCTAAAATTTTAAAAATAAACGAAAATGTATTTCTTGTAGCGGAACATTAAGAATAAAAATGTAGGTGTGCCACTTGGAAAATGTGCCAAAGGGTGATCAAACGAAAATCACTTTATTATTGCAAATATCTTAAGATAATTTTGCTGCTTTAAAAATGCAAAGCAAAATACAGATAAAAATAAAATATTTTGAAATCTAAGTCACTTAATTGTTAAATGAAATCAATAATTTTATAAATATTTTTACGTTATTATGTAGGTAAAATAAAACTTTACTGTAAAATTACAAAGAAACGTAATAGACAAATAGTTACCAACGTCGAACATCTAAAAAAATATTAAGTACTATGACAATCAGCTGATTGAATGACCAGCAAAAAAACTCTTTTAAAAACTAAATGAAATATAATAAATACTTAAAAAATATGAATAAATTTTAAATAATAATTAATAATAAAAAGTAACTCTTAAAAAACTCACCTCACCGCCGTGGTCAGCACACCGCAAAAATGACACAACTCAAAACATAACTTTTCCGAGCGCTACACGACCGAGCGCGGCCAAAGCGGTACTGCGGCACAGAATAAGTAATAGTACAGATACAGAAGGATTACTCCGCAAGACGATTTAAATAAATGCGAGTCTTGCTACGACGCGATACAGTGGAATTCAGCTCGCACAGCACTACGTACCTACAATTTTATTCACCTACAAGTTTTGTCTCTTTCTATCGCGTGCCTCTGAACTCTTCTTACGCTGTTAGGGTTGCTGTCTAGTGAAAAAATAATTAATCTAGGTACTTATTTGTAATGAGGTACGTATGTAGGTAAGTATGCATTCATTATGGAAAACCTTGGGAGAGGCCTTTGTCCAGCAGTGGACGTCATTTGGCTGAAACGAACGAACGAATTCTGAGCAGTAGTCATGGTAGGTTAGGTTCCTATAACTATCCTAAGAATTATTTATTACCTACATGGCCAACATACCTTTCAGCATCTTTGGGAAGCGAAAAAAAAAAGATAAATCCGGTAGATTTCTTTTCGAATTTTAACACCCGAACGCCGCACAATATTTCTTTCTCTTTATGTCCATTTTTAAATAATACTTCGATCATAGAATTATAATCATACTACAACGCACGCCAGCGTCCTGAGGGGCGCGCGCGTGACACTCGACTGATATAATACCCGCCGGCGGGGCGCTTCGCTGTAGGTAATTATCGGATGTACCGCGCGGAGTGAGCCAGGCCTGACTGCGGCTCGCCGTCGCGGCCAATCGCGCCACGCCTCGCTCGCCCCGCCTCCACGCGAATGCTCGCCCAACCCGCGCTCGAGCAAAACCTTATTTACCGATAACGCCCCAACCCCCCCACCTCCCACCCTCTTATCGATCCCCACACTTATTTAAGGCGCCTGAATTAATTTTGTGATTGAAATTACAAGTATGATGGCATTAATTTGTTGGTTCGATTAAAATACGGCCCCATTATGCGGTGTGATATTCAGGGTTGTTTCGCGGGAAGTACCTACTAGCACGGGGTAGTGGGCGTTGAGTATCTATGTATTGTTTTATGCTCGGATTGGAGTTACAGTTTCAGGGGATTATGTTTTTCTCGTGGGAGGTTATTTTGAGTCACGGCTTCAAGTTTCAGGGTTTGATTTCAATTTTGCTTAGTCCACTTGATCGCAACATTACAGATAAGTATTTTTTGCCCTCTTTATTTTAATCTTCTGAAATACCTTTTCTCGTTTTTAATAAGTTTTGTTTTCTGTCCTAAGTTATTACTAAAATAAATAGATAATGAACTATATGTATATCGCTATCTTTAGTTAGATTATCATAACAGAATAAATTGTTTTTTCAAATTTGAATGATCTAGATAAAAAANATAAATTTTTTTATTTCTTAAAATAAACTGTCGTGTTGCGGAGAGTGGGTAATAGATATTCTAAATAAATTCATTGAAATATGCTTGAAACAACTAAATAACAAATTGAATCAAAGTCGTATGTTAACAAGCCACTCTGAAGTGTGAGTAGGTAGCAAGCAGTGCTATTGAGCAGTATTATTGAAACTTTATAATTGGTGCCCACAATCATTGAGTAAACTTTTAATTTAAAACACTAGATTTTAAGTTTTAATATTTTCATAATATTTTATCTAAACTCGACAGATTTGACATAATATATCTTTAACCATAAACTTTTTAGATGATAATAATTAATTCGTATCGTATCGTAATATTTTATCTAAACTCGACAGATTTGACATAATATATCTTTAACCATAAACTTTTTAGATGATAATAATTAATTAGAGTTTTACTGCAGAGGGATTAACAAGATTGTACAGTTTTGAGGTATTTATGTACATAATATTACTTAATTTCTTCTTGTATGGGCAGTCGTATATTAGCCTACCCAGATTACCCAGATACCTACCTACCTCGGTTTCATAGAAAATTCTCACCTATTACAACTAAAAAAGCTACAATTCTTAACATAATGTATTGTGTTGTACGCCCATTCAAAAAACACTTGCTGAAAAAGACATTTTATTCAGCTTGTTATTAAATTCTCTTGTCTTACAATCACAAATAAAATCTCTAATCTCTTAACTACCAGCCATAAACCTTTCCAATATCTAGCCAATTAAAGCTCTACGCATACAAAACTATATTCAAATGGCATCAAGATAAGGCGGCGACCGACTGCGGCGAAAATCATGAACTGAATAATCACGTGTCATAATAAACAGCGCCGTCTGTCGGCAGATTTAACCCTCAATTATAGAATTAAGCCGAGTTGAAGGGTTGCGCGCCCCTGTTGCGTCGCCAATTGATGTTTTATAGAGCCGGGGAATGTCTGTAACTATTGATGTCGATTCAATATTCTTCTGTTTGGCCCAAAATATGACTACGAGAATTCCGCAGATAATTCACCATGCACTCTGCATTGTACGACCGATTCTTGATTGTGGTTTTTCTTGGTCTTTGGTTGGTTTTTGTAAGTCTGATTCTGAAGGTGAGATTCTTATACCCAAAATTGTAATAAAACATTGGATTTATCTTATAGGTATAGGGAATGTACTGTTATGTATCATGAGTAAGATCTCAAATTCACCCTGTAGAATAATGTTGATGTTTCTCAAAACATCGATATCGACTCTGTCTCGCCCCTGACGAATTGATGCTCAATACTGTCATAATGAAGAGTCGTCACGCCGCACGCGCTGCGGTGGCGCCCTTATACCAGCAGTGTGTGCTGCCCTTATAATGCTTTCACGGCCGATTTCATACAAAAATATTGGCAGTTTAAACTCGGCAGGATTAGGAATTTTGAATTAATCCTCTCTCATTTGCTTGTTAGGTAAATAATAGACACGTTTTGTAATTATTTTGATTATTATTATTCTAGATTTGTTTGATTGTTGTTAAAACAGCGATGCAAAAATTCCATTAGTAGATGACCAATCACTTTTTAAAATTAATTTTAATACAGTATTTATAACGCATCTAAGTAAATAATTGTCACTTTTTTAACTTTAGCAAAATTCATCATACTCAAAGAGCCAGATACAGATACAGCCACTTTTCAGTTCGTGATAAATAATAAAAATAAATAAAAAGATGTTTACTTCGTACACTTAAAGAAAATCCGCTTTTAATCAAAGACCGAAAAATACACAGGTAATTACTCGCACGCGACCGCAAAAATACAAATATTCTAATATAAAGTTTCCCATTTAAAAACAGACTCTTACATCTTCTAATACGGTTCATAATTCAATGTACTTTATGAGTAATTCATGTTTTGAAAGGTTTTTTAAGAGGACGATAATAAAGCGATCCGCAGACGTAATCTGCCTAA